TTTTCCTATGCTAAACTACAGGAAAGGCATTAGTATTGTAGTGCGAGTTAGAGCTTGGTACGCAATTTAGTTGCAACAAGGACTGGCCTTTTTTCCACAGTCATTCATTCGTACATACATACAGTTTTCATAAAAGAACCATAAGTTGAACGTTAAAAATGTTAGTATTTTGTTGTAATCTCCTTTAAAATTTTGGCACACATTTTTTTTATTTAAATAACTAAGTCACTTATTTGGTTATATAAATATTTTTCATAGAACTCGAAGTGGGACTTTGAATCAGAAATAATAATATTGAAAGATAATATAAACGATTTTAACTTAATATAAACAATATAAGAATAAGCGTTTTATGTGAAAAAATATTAACATGTAAATTATCATAGAGTATTCTTGAGTTTTTGAATTAGTTACTAGATATTTACAAACTATTTTATGAATTTGCATTAAAATTATCTATATCTTAACTGTTCTATGATATATATGTAAATTATATTTAAAAATAAAACAATCATATCAGTTAAATGTTGATCAATAAATTCAAACATAATTGTACCAGATACTACAATTATCAGAGACTTTAAGCCAGGTAACATAATTAGCTCAGATTCCATTTCATTTACTTGTTGGTATAACATATATTCTCTTCCATCTAGATTTTTCACGCACAACACCCATGACTCTCTATTCAAAATGTATTCGTTTGTTCGTTATTCAACAATGTATACTTATAGAATAAACAGCAACCACTTACGTTGCTCATGGTAGATAGCCCAAGAAGAAGGTGAGATGCACTAACATAACTAGTTATGAGCCTGGCTCTTATATTTATGCATTCACACACTGCATGGTAGATAGAACAAGAAGAGGGGCACTAACATAACTGGGTATGAGCCTCGCTTTTATATTTATGCATTCACACAGTCGCAATCCATTAATTTACTTGATATTCAGAAAGTGTTAATTTCTAGCTCTTAATTGCTAAATTATTCCAAGAATATTATTATAGTCAAAAATAATTTATTCAATAAACTAACTAGCTAGATTAATTGGTGTTCTAAGTAAATTATTTATATCTTTTCAAGTATTTAACTGTAACTTTATCCTCATATTAATCAAGCAATTCAAAGTTAATGTATCCTTGGCCTTGGCAAAAACGATATTAAAATCTACACTGAACTTTTTACAGGACACTGTAGACTTATTAACCACATGAAGATTATAGGTGTGGTAGAAAGTAACTTCTGTCGACTCTGTCATGAGGAGAAGGAAACATCAGAACATGTTCTATGCAACTGCCCAGCGGTGGCAAGACGTAGACTCGATCACCTTGGAAGCGGGATATTAGTCCCAAGTCAAATAGGTAAAATTAAGCCCACAGCAATTACAAGATTTATAAATAGTCTAAAATTGTCCTAATTGGGCCTTTAGACGCACAATAGATCTTTTAAGTCGAGGTGCTTTAATAGCCTATTACTTAATTAATAAATAATCAAACAATTGAAAACTAAAAATTGACAATTTGAATTTCAGATATTGGAATTTGACGTTTCCAGTTATGTAGCTAGACCATTTTTGATTTGACCTTTTATATAAATCTATTAGTTAACATTAGAAAGAGTTAATAGTTTGAAGATATGTAGGATTCATTTTGAATACTATATTAAAGGGAGTATAATTTGTTGAGTTCAACATTCACCAGTTCACGAATCCCATGAAAAATATATGGCTTTCGAGATTAACTAAATGTAATTTACTAATAATTAACTAATAAATTTACTAATATACGTAATAAAACGTATATTTTTAATTTTTATACGAAATAAAAATTCGAACTTTACAAATTAATCTTATAACGATAATTGGAAAAAAGCAGAAGTAAGACATAACGAGTGTACATATCAGCAAATTGACAAATGGAAGCATTGGAGTGATAAATATTGAAAGCATATTGAATAAATAAACAATATAAAAAATTTGAAAAGTACACAAATACAAACTATTATTTACAACTGCACTCTCAAGTAAAATGAAACTTATGCTATTATTATAAAAAAAAGCAAACGCAAGGCATGACAAGAGTTCCAATAAGCGAAATGACAAAGAAAGCATTGGAGAGATGGATCTTGAGAAAAAATCGATCATATGTTAAAGACTAAACAATACTAAAATGTTAGAGTTGGTGAATATGAGTTATTATATATAACTTCACTCTCAGTTAATATAAAAATCAAAATTTTTCTATTATTGTGATATTTCTATTAGAGAACTAGCGTCTAATCATGAAGTTATATATATTTATATATATATAACTGAATATTATACAGTCATTTAAACTGAATCCAAAGTGCAAATTAAACAGGATTTTCAAACACTCATATTTTAATTAAGTCAGAAATTGCTAATAATATACGTCAGTAATCTTTCATTATCGGCATCGATCTTTCATTAAAGTAATTTAAACATTTTGTGACCTTTGTATATTATTGGTTTAGAAGTTGTCACCAAAGTTTGACATTTTCTAGTATAAAAAAAAAAGAGATTAAAGTATTTGAAGACAGAAAAGAAAAGAATATGTATTACTTTAATAATATCTCAGCAGATATATATGTGCACTAATACCATTTTATAAATTACGCATATTAAAAATCATTATATATGTGTATATATACTTAGATGTCTAAATTCTACTCATAACTGTCAATCATTATTGTAACAAACAGATATTTGGTATTCTTTGTTCCTGACTATGCCTATTGTATGACATATAATATGCATTTTATTAAGGCAGGACAACATAGCTTAAATCAAAAGGCCTAAAGTGTATACGAGTATTTTAAGAATTCCGCTGGCGTTCCAGAGCACAAATTACTGCTTATTTTTCTGCAATTCAGTGATTTTGTTATGGGTATATTTCCGCTGTATTTGCGCACTAGCGTACCGTAGAACAACAAAAAAAATGAATTAATTTATGGCCACAGTGGGAAAATTAAATAAAAAAAAAAAAAAAAACAAAAAACGACACATGTACAGTAAATCGTGTTTAAATGTTTCCACTTCACCACTTTCCTGTAATTTTACCGCCATATGTAAATAAAACTTCGTGACTTCCAACCAAACAGATTTATAGTAAATGACGTATCTTAGGCAGCATGTTTAGTTTCGCTTTCCATTGACAAAAGCGCTAACATTAGCTCCCGCCGAACATATGCAATCTCACGTTACTGCCAGCTTATAGGTTGGGTAGCGGCAAGCGTTAGCCAAGCATTAGGCAAGGCTACCAACAACAGCAACATAGGTTTGTTAAGGTCAACCACTGTTTAGTAATTTGTAAAGGAAGAAATTCTTACTGTCATGACGCATTTGAATTGAGAGTCCTTGAAACTGTAAAGTCACACGAAAATAAGCTTAGTTCAGCTAATGCGTTGGTTATGTGAATTGCGGTTAACCATACAATCAACTATGTCATTTTGGTCAAGTAAACACAGTTTATTACTGTTTAACCTGATATGAACGTATGACAATTATTCTTAAGTTTAACGCACAATGGAATACATATGTATAGTATATAATTGTGAAATATTAAGTAAATAAACATAAGCCTGTATATATATGTAAGTTGTTTGATCTGTAAATACATTTTTGAAAATGCATTATATAAAAATGTTTATATATAAAATAAAAAAATACTTCAATGGAAACAAATAAATAAATGAATAAAAGAACTCACTGTCAGAACTCACTGGGGTAGAAAATCTTTTCAGTTATTGTAAAAATCGTTATCCTATATTAGGGCCTTTTAGACGAATTTGTTTTAAGAGAGAATCTTTTTAGTGGAAGAGAAAGTAATGAGTGTGCTCTAAATGGGGAAAATGATCCTGATTGGAAAAGATTGATTAACTATATTACTAATGCTTTGAAATACAGAAAACTAATTATAAACGAATTCGATACTTTTTAATTAAAATTTAAAACATTAGTAATTAATTTGAATTCTTTATACTTTCATTTTTGGATTGGGAATAGCTTTAAGCTAGAAAGCAAATTTATATAAATCCAACGCCTTCGACAGATGACTATCAAGTCAGTGCCGTTTTCTTAACTTATACTTTCATTTTTGAATTGGGAATAGTTTTAAGTTAGAAAACAAATTTATATATATCCAGCACCTCCTACATACAACTATCAAGTCAGTGTCGTAATCTTTTTTAATTTTTTTTTTTCAATTTATTTTTAAGTAACTCCAACCGACATTTTAGATTTAGAGCATAATACTTATATTAAAATATTTTGAAATAAAGAAGACCTATCTATGGATCTATCTATTGTAAAAATAATTTTTAACTTGGCTAAAATATATATAATTCCATGGCTATAGTAGAGGACAAATAATTACCACCTTTCCCTCACATAAATGTGCCCAAAGTAATATCTCATAACAAAAACATATTTTTTAAATTGTAAAATCTGTATACATTTATGAACATCATTAATATTTACTATAGCTTATCACAAAAATAATTTTTATAAGCTTCAAATAAAAAGTTGAAATCAACTCCAACATTTATAAAACAAAAACCAAGCCCATTTTTTCGATTTAAAAACGCCAGTTTTAAAAAAGTTAAAAATATTTTACTTGCAAACCATTTAAAGATTATACATATAGTACATATAAACTACGACTGCCAGTTACACGATACATTTAATAAACTGAAAAACTTTTCCTTTCATTTTCATGCAGAACTTAAATAAAACAATAACAAAGTTTCTTCAAAAAAAAAAAAAATTAAAAAAACTTAAAACGTGTCACTTCAGAATGTCAGATACAAATACAGTGCTTAAGCGTGTACTCGTACTGCCAGCGCTAATGGCAAGTAAAAGATAAAATACAAGTAAATCAAAAGAACTATTGAATGAAAAACATACAAAATAATAAAACATGAAGTTAATTGTCAATCAAGTTTAAGGATGCAATTTACATAAATTATAAAATCCAGTATCAGTTCAGGAATAATTTATAAAAGCAATGCAGTTTTGATTAAAGAAAACCAAAAGTGCATTTCAAAATCAAGACATGTGAAGTTTATGAATAGTTACTGTTCAATGGATGTATTAAAAACTAACCTAGAGGACATAATTATATTTTAATCTTCCAAATAAAAGATTATTTATCTACCTAACAGCATGAACTATAAACTTGAAATGTAATAGTATATATAATAGGTAATACTTTTTCTTATATTCTCCGTATATCAACTTTAATTTACTTGCTTTAAAGAAACAACATATTTATAGAATAGAATGCTATAATTACTAATATCATCGATCTAATTTTTAAAATTATTCATATCCATACCTGATTACAACATTTCGTGACAATGTTTCCCATGAGTACAATGAATTAATCTTCTTATAAAACATAAATCCTTATATTCATTTACCTATTCCAGTTTCGTATTCAAACCAAAAGAAAATTAAAAAAATAAATGAACTTTTTAAAGTTTATAAATAGAGACTAATAATCTTGAAATATGTTTGCATAACATACATGTACCTATATCAAAGAAAAGATAGATTTTAAAAGTGATGTCAATTTGTTTCAAACAGACTTATTGCTGTTTTTTTTACAACTCTGAAAGAAAAAAATACGGCTAGAGATATTATAATTTTAGTATAAGACATTGAAGCCACACTATCGACTTTTTAAACAATAGTACAATGACGAAATTTGTTTAACATTAGATTTTGTCATTATACAAGAACTATATATTTGCAAGATTCTTTGCAAGTGTTTGATTTTAAAAAAAATGTATATATCCAATTAATCCAATCAGTAAGCCAATCAGTAATACCTCAGAATAATATTTTTGGCTTTAGCAACTTGATAACATATTCACTACCTATTGGTAAAATATATTTGAAATAAATTCTCATCAATTACAATTTGTAAAGACTTATTTATTTATTGGTGGCTTCATTTATAAACTTATCATTTTCCTTTTTAACTTTTTTTCCATATATTTTCATATTTTAAGCCTTATAAAAGTACTCTTTAATATACTAATTAATTTAATATACTAAATTGCCCAAGTGGTGTACTGCGAAATCTTGCTCACATTCATGGCGATCATTCAATACATTCTTACAAAGACGCAATGTAATATTTAATATCCTGGTAAAATACATAAGATCTTTAAATAATAATTGTTTATACAATCAATTTATACATTTATTGCTTCTAAAACAATTTATCTAAGTTTATAATTATTCTATGCATATTCCTATAACATATATACAATAGTTTTTAATATTTTTTCGCCCCTATAAGTATACAATTAAGTGTTATAGATAGTTGATACTAAGACTCTTGATCTTAAAAATATACAATAAATTTTAAACGTAGAGGAGAAGGGGACACCATTTTCTGTATATAAGAGAAATGCGCTGAAAACATATTTGCTATCATTTAAAATACTATATCAGAATTATATTATCTATTTCTTCCATTTTTTAAATCGTGTACTCATTTTGATGCTGCTTATATAAAAACAACAGCGTATCTAATCTAGAAATATATATATATATATGTGAACATTTTTATAGATACATTTTCTTATTTAACATCATACCGTAAGCAATAGCGTACGTATGCGTATTATAAATACAAACACTGATTTAAAATGTTATGAATAACCATTTTAATTTTATTTGAAATAAAATTGCATACTCTAAAATACGTCATATATCACAAATTTCGTGCTGCAATTTTATTGTTATTTTAATTATTACGTACGTAATAGAAAATAAAAATATACAATATATTAATTTATTCAGATTTAAAAATACGGAAATAAAATCTAAAACGAAACATATATTTTTAATACGTCAGTTTTATGTAAATTAGTAAAAGGATACGAACATAAAATAATATCTATATTGCCTACAATATACAGATATACAGTACTATATATATTTATGTTGTTGGAAAATAATTTTTATTTAAAGTGTTATGTTAGTAAATATGTATAAATAATATTATTAAATAATAATATTTTAAATATTTATACATGGGTAAAACAACTTAGAGATAAAACTGCTGTTCTTTATTGTAAATTTTCATAAGAGATACTATACAATTTTAAACTGCATAATTTTTTCAACTTTATACTTACATTTATGAGCAGTTTGCCTCCTAATAATATGAAAATTAAAAAAATTAAGTAATTTATATATAACAATGACTCTTGAAAATCTTGTAATCAAATATCCAATGGCTTCATTTAATTTAATATCTTCTCTCAAATATTCCGATAAACTTGTTATTATTTTTTATACGCACACTAATATTTATCTATGGGACTTCCAAAATAATAAAAAAAATATATTTATAATATTTCTATTGAATTGCTAAAATAGTCGGTTTTTTTTGTAGCATGCACTTTCTTTTGAATTAAAATAACTGTTGCAACTGAAAACAAAAAATTTCCAGGCAAATGTTAAACAAAATTTATGCATGTCACGTATGAAGGTCCTTTTTTTTAATATGCACTAGCAAAATAGCCTGTTTACGCTCAAACCGGCTTAACTCACCCTTCTATGAGAATATTCCATGTTATAATTGTCGTTGCCGTTGTTGGATAATTTAATTGCAAGCAAATACAGTGCAAGAATAAAGCACAAAGGTCTTAAACTATTTTAAGCCAATTTCCAGAAATAAATCTAAACCCCTGAAATATATTGGGTATTCCGTAAATATAAGCGGTAACCACTGTAAGTCACGGTGCTTAATATTATTACTGCAGTAGTTGTTTTTAGATTTAAAATTTTGTAATTTCTTTCTGAACTGCTATATTTAGAACAAGTTTAAACGCTCAAAAATATGCAACGAAATGTTAAAAGTTAAATGTCTGAACTTTAAGCTAAAAGCATTTTTGTGTATTTTTATTTTCCTTTAGACATTTTTACAGCAGTTTAATTTATGGTCTGTATGTTTGTATTTTAATTTGGCACTGCTGGGAATAAGACAATTTTTTTCAGATAAATGTTGAACTGACACTATTCTACATTAAACTGCTTACAAAATAAATGCAGTAATATTAAATTAAATGGAAGTTATTTGTTATAATTTAATTCACTTTAGTTTAATTTCATTATATATTGTTCATTTGATTTATAACTGGGAACTGTGTTTAGATGTGAAACTATAAATAAATTATTCTTTTAAAATTATCAATTACAAACAAGGGCAACAGGGTGTTTCATAGAAAAAATCATACATACGGAGAAATGATGAGAATATAATCAATATTTTCCGAAACACAGAGCTTTAAAAAAAAGTTTTCTCGAAAAAACTTAAGTAAAAAAATCCGGATATACCAATTTTAAATATATTACATTTTTTTTGTGCTAAAATGGTTTCCTCGTAGGATCCTTGACCTTATTCCTTGGCGACGATCACCATATCGAATAACCCCGAACACACCAAGCTTTATCATGACATTGGTATAAATCAGCGAATTAACATCCAGCAGCTTTGTTATCTTAATTATATCGTTATCTTGATTACACCGCGAAAAAGATATCTGACGCGGCAGTTGGAGGGAAGAAAGCATAAAGATAGACCGTGTCTTCGGTTAAATTATCAAGTTAAAGGAGCATTAATCGCCCTCAATGCATGAGACTGGAGTAGGCGCGTAGGCAGTAGAGGCGCCTGAAGAGGAGTGAAACCCAGCTGAAACCCGCAAATGGGTTGTTACGATCTCTTAAATATATAAGCAGATAAGTAAAATGAGTTCGGAAATGACAGTACTCCATAAATAATTTTCTTTAACATTTTTGTGGTTATTTTTTATCCAGTTGGTGATTTTGTATTGTTTTTTCAATAGCAAGTGCTTTTGGTTTTGATTTTGATTTTGGATTTGGATTTGGAATTGACCCAAGCCTTTATAAAAAATTTATATTAACAAATCTTATCGAACAACCACCAAGAAACCTGATATGGTACTGGACGATTTTTTTCTTTTTCCATAACTTAAATTACAACTGTAAGACACCCATTTTTAGGGGACAAATGACAAGAAAGATAATTCGTGACGAATTCTGAAGTTGATAGCACTGCGTTTAAGAAGTGTTTAAATGATTGGGTTATTCGAAAGTTAAGTGTAATATATCGGGAAGAAACCACTTCGAACGAAAGTAAAAAACGAAAATAAAATGAAACCTAAAACAGATTTGCTGTTCAAATACCTGAAATATGTTCAAATAGCTCGAACATTTCGAATTTTCGGAAATTCAAATATTCGAGTTTGCGTATACTCAAGTATAGCAAATTCGACTCTCGAAAACTTTGAAGTACTCACTTTCAGTGTTAAAGACCCTATAAATTATTTCAAATTAAAATAACACATATATAAGTAATCAATATCATATACGAATTGATAAATGCAAGCTAATGTTTACCCATATGCGTTTAATGTTAGTGATAAACTAATATTAAATGTTATAATAAATAATGTACATAATATGTATAACTTTTTAATGTAAGACAATACAAAAAAATGTATATTTACATTTAATATCTTGCAGATGCATTCATTCCGCAACCGTCTAGGTCAAAATTCAATGTCAATATATGAAACATAAGTGTGGCAAGAAGGCAAAATCACAGTCGGAACTCGAGCTCATGTGTTGCAGTGGAAAACGCCAACAAAGAGAAATGTGCAATGTAGAGAAAAAGTTAACAAGCTCCATGCAGAAAAATGCAGCGCTGGGTTGAAACAAGCCGACCCACTAAAAGTATCATGGACTTAATACATGTAAATGAATGTCAAGTGCAATGTTAAAATGAAATCGAAAACGCAATAAATTTTTTTTTTCACTTTACAC